TCAGACTGTAATATTAGATTTATATTATCTTTTTAAAAAAATTTCAATATTTTTTAATTTTATAAAATTATATTTTATTATATTCTATCTTTAAACTGATAGTCAGTTAAAATAAATAAGTTAAATTAATAAAATAATAATATATTGTATATATATTTTAATCAAAATTTAATAGTAGTTTACAGTTATTCTATCTATTATTTTAAATATTGATTCGAATCTGAATATATTAATAAAAAATATTCTTAATATTTATACTTTTAAATATTCAAAACATCCGTCTGTTTAAATTATCGTTCTACTATCTAAAAATATAAATATTTTATTTCAAAATATTAAAATTGAAAAAAAATTCTAGTCGTTTCTATAAATATACTAATACTAAAAAATATAAAACTAAAAAAATTATTATTTTTAAAAATATTTAAATTATTTAAAAATTTTTCTTTTATTTTAATACAGACAAAGTATTAAAAATTTGCTGCAGTTTATATAAAAAAATCTATAGTTTATATTATAAATTTTTAAATTTATATATAAATATTATATATATCTATATTTCTATAAAAATTTCAATATTTTTATTTCTTATAATATTAATATAAAATTTAAATTATTATAGTAATATATTAATTTCTTTTATATTATTACTTCTATTGATTAATATATATATAAATTCGATCTTTCCGATTTATAATATATATATTTTATTATATTAATTATATATTTTAAATCTATATTTTTAAGTAAAAATCTTTTCGGTTGTTCTGACTCCCGTTCTTTAAATAATATAAATAAATATTTTTTAAATAATCAGACTGTTAGAAAATTGCCGCCGTTCTTAATAAATATATTATTCTATATAGTCGACACCGTACTATAATTATATGTAATATCTAATATATTAAAAAAAATATAATTTTTAATTTAATAAATAAATATATAAAGAAGATATTACTATAGATAAATTAATTTATAATTATAAATACTATATTTTTAACTATATCGAACTATTTAATATTTATATTTAATACTGTATCTAATCATTTTTTATTTTTTTATTATTTATTTTTTCTTATTTTTATTTATTATATTATATATTCTAATATTATATCTTTCGATCGTTCGTCTTTTGACATTCGTCTTTTTATATTATTAATTTTATATATATAATCATTAATATAAACATCGTTCTTAAAACTGTAAAATTTATTGGAATTTTTAAAATATTTATTATTTTTAATCATAATAATAGATTTTATTATAATTTTATTTATATTAAATAGATATAACCAGCTTCTTATTATAATTAATAAATTTATAAAATATTTTAATCTATTATTTAAAAAATTAATTTAAATACTTTAATAATAAGATATTATTTTTATTAATTATATATAATTTTATAATTAAGATATGTTATATTATTTTATATCCGAATGTAACTTTTAATTTATATTAGTTTTTTTAAAAAATTATATATATATATATAAAATATTCTTGATTTTATTCTATTGTATTATATTCTTAAACTAATAATTGATTTAAATATATAATCTAAAATATAATATTATAATATATTATAAAACTATTTAAAATATTTAAAATTATATCATTATATTCTTTAATATTATATTTATAATTATGTTTTTCTTATCTGCAATTACCAGTTATTTATTTTATTATTTTATATATAATTTTTTTTAAACATACATATAATCTTTTAATAAAAATGTACTATCTTAAACTAAATATTTTAATATTTTCTATATTAATCTAATTATTTTAAAAAATATTAATAACTATCTTATCGAAAATATTTAAAACTTTATATATTAGTTTAATACTAAAAATATTAAAATATATATCTATTTATATAAAAAATATAATATTAGTTATAAATCTATATATTTTATTTTTAATAATAATATATATTTATATTTCTATAAAAAAATATATTTTACCTACTGTTTCCGAATAGATAAAAAAATTATTCTAATAATATATTAATTTATTTTTTATTAAAATTATCGGTTACCATATATATTATTTTAATTTATTTTATTATATTTATATTTTAATAAAAATTTATTTTATTATATTTATATTATAATAAAATTTTATTTTATTATATTCATAATATAATTTAAATTTATTTTTATTAATAAAAATCTGTATACTTATATTCTTACTAAACTACTTTCTATTATTAATAAATATTTTTTTAATTAAAACTATTAAAAAATTTTTTTATTTTTTATAAATATACTATTTATTACAGCTGCTATTATATATTTATTATATAATATTCTTTTATTAATTTAAATATAGTTTTAAAATAATATATAGATATATATATCCAACATCACTGTAAACAACTTAATTAAAAATTTAAAAATTATTATTTAAATTATTTTATATAATCTATTTTTTATTATTTTTTCTTTTTATTTCTATTTTTATATTTAATATACTGAATATCTGTCTATTATTATTTTTATATTTTTTAAATATATTATTTTTATATCTTACAATTTATATTATTATAAATTATATTTTTATGTTTTTATATATTTTTTATATCTAATATTTTATACTTTATATCTTATATTAAAATATTTTTATATATTCTAAATTATAATATATTTTATTTATTAATTTATTAATTTATTAATTTATTTATATATATATAGCTTCTAACAATATTAGTTTTAAAAACCAGTATTTATAATAAATATTATTATACTAATATTCTACTATTCTGTTTTTTCTATTTTTCTAACTGTTTTATATAGTAGAATTTTAATTTTATAATTTTTTAGTTGTTCTTATCTCTTTTCTCTTAACCGACTAATATAATACTTATGAATTTGTCTTTTCCATAACAATATATTTTTTAAATTAAATATAAATATTAGTTTTAACTATTTCTATTAAACTTTTTTAGTAAATATAAAATTAAAAACTATAAAAATCATTTATATACAAAATACTATAGCTTATTTTAAAAAACTTTAAAAATATATTAAAATAGATATTACTAATATTTTAAAGTACTAAACTATATAGATAAATTATTATTAAAAATTATTATTTTAAATAAAAATAAAATTTATATTAATTATTTAAATAAAAATTAGAAACAGCTGTTTGAAAAATTAGCTAATAAATAATACAGCTTATATAAAGTCTTAAAATAAAAAATATATTTTAGATTTAATTAGTAATCAACATTAAAGTGTATTTTATATTTTATTTTAAAAAAACTTTAATTTATATTTATTGATAATTTGGTATTAGAATATATTTAGGATTAAGCCGAATTAATAAAAATAAATAAAAATATAAAATATAAAATAAATAAAATTCTCAATTTTCATATGTATTAAAAGTACCTAATATATTAAAATAAATTGAAAAACCTAAATAAAAAACTAGATTTAATATTTAATTAATAATTTAAAAAATATACTACTAATAATCAAAAAAATTTCTATTATATTTAATTAATTTGGATTTTTAAAATATTTATTTATTCAAGTAACAGCTGTAAATTAAATAGTTTTAATTAGAATTAATTATAATAAATTTTCTAATATTATACTATAAAGCTTATTATACCTAGTTATTAATCTAAAAAAATAGAAAATTAATTCTAGAAATATTTTGTATTTATAGATAATTAAAATTTACAATAAAAATAATATAAAAATAATTTAGTTAATTTAGCTAATCTAATTAATTTAGTTAATTTTAAGAATTTAATCTATCTAAAATACACAGTTTTTTAATCTGATCAATTTTATTTAATATATTTATTATATTTATTCTGTTTATTTTCTGATCTGCTTTTATGATAAATAAGCTGTAGATTTATATTTTCTTTTTTTATTTTCTTTTTTTCTTCTTATTTTTGATATTTTATATCTTTAGTACTAAGTTGGTAGAAATAAACTGATTTGCTCGGCCCTGACACCGGTTAATATATATTTTTTAAAAATATATTAAAAATACATCTAGACAGCTGTAGAATATACTTTAAAATATGATTAATAATATATAACTTAATATGATTATTTTAATTAATTATAATAATTATTGGAGATAACAAAAAATAGAGAAATTAGTTATATTAAAGTTCTGCTGCCAGGGCGGTGAGAAAGGCAGCCACATAAACGAACGGCAGAATATTATTACAGACAAACAAATGTGACATAATTGAATATATTCTCAAATATAACTGTTACAGCAGATAAATTAATTGATTATATTGAAATTCTTAATTTATAATAATTAATTTATAAACAAACCGATAGGAGATCGAACCATAAAAGAATCGCCAAAAACAGAAAACAACGGCAGAATCAACGTCAGCGAAATCACCACTAAAGCCGCTACAACAAAGCAGTCAACAGTAGCAGAATAACCGCTTAGGATTGCGGCCACAGTCATAGATGATATACGCTACAATGAATGCATAATTTAAATATACTTTTAAGGCAATCATTCCACATCCAGAGGAGCTAAGCGTGCTGAGATGAATCTATCTACAAAATCCTTCTTTTGAGGCCTCGATCGGCAACATACAGATACTGATAAATTACCTATCAACTACTCAAAAAGTAGTCCAATAAACCTTCTATTAAGAGTAGTTAATTGTTAACATATGAAAAGATAGTACTAAAAACTTTATACTTTTTATAAGTGATAAGGTAGGTTAGGAACTATGTAAAATTTCCAGGCGGTAAGCAATTTTTGTGCTATGTGATCGAAATAACAAGGTGGGCTCACATGCAACCTGACAGTCTTGTTGCTAGCCGTCCTCTCGGCTTACTAAGAACGTCGTTAGTGGTATGTTTGACCACCCGTAGAACATGTGCTAAATCGACTCTAGCATCCCAAAGCTCCCTTACTGACCTCACTTACTTCAATTATCCTTCGAGCAGCCAACACATCTCTCCATTCCTACCTATAAAAACTGATCTAGCCACGCTCATAGCATGTCTCGTCCTGGCACTACCTTATATGTCACCGGCTTCGGGCACGGGACTCGAGCTCGCGATCTTGCCTACGAATTCGAACGGTACGTGCCGCTCGTCGATTGCCTACTCGCTACTACATCCACCGACTCGTCTCCTCAAACGCGAAAACACTCGACGGAGTCTCGCAGTATCGCAGGCGAAGCTGTTCACTTTTTCCCGTTTTAGAGAGATTCTCTCTCATTGCTGCTCTGTGGTAGTGCTGTGAGCGGAATTCTCCGCCAAACCCAATACTACCACTATCTACCTGTTCATCATTCTCCCGAGTCAAAATTTACATTGTAATGAGTATCTGGGCTTCAATTGTTCCTGACTTTTCTTGTAGGTATGGCCGACTTGTGCGTTGTGATATTCCAGCACCGCGAACTCCGTCGAGCAGACTGTATGTCACCAAGCCATTCTACACTCTCGACCTTGACTTACGTTGGCAGGTTTGCTTTCGTGGAGTATGAGAGTCGCCGTGATGCAGATGATGCCTATCATGAGATGCACAATAAGCGAATTGGCCGCGATGATTTATTGAAGATAGAGGTTTGTCATCCGGCTGCCCACACCATGAAAATCCTCAGCTAACATGTCAAAGTGGGCTCGGACTCCCCCTTCTGCCTCCTGGCGTTTCGATTCTGGTCGCGACCGTCGGCGTGACCGTACCCCTCCCCGCCGTGGCCGCTCTCCTTCGCCTCGACGCAGCCGTGGCGATTACTCTCCGCGCAGGGATGAAAGGTATGATCGGGAGTATGACCGCCATGATCGTGACTACGAGCGTCGGGACCGTGATTATGAGCGTCGGGATCGTGATTATGACAGACGTGAACGTGAGCGTTCTCGTGATCGCTCCCGTAGCCCTGATGAGAGAGATCGTGATGTCAAAGAAGGTCGGGAACGCCGGGATGATGAGCGAGAACGAAACGACGATGATCGTGAAAACGGACCAAATGGCGATGAAAGAAAAGGTCAGTCGTCTAACATTCAACATTAACAAGATATTGATCCCTCTTAAGTGGCCCCGTTAGACCCCTTGCCTTCTGCTCATGATGAACTGGACACCGCGGAGTAGGTTGCTCTCCTGCCTGGCTCGCTGATACCCAAAGTCATATATCAGGCCGTTCTGGTATAATGCCTTGCCTATGGGAGAGGCGACACCCTTAATACCCGAGGCAATTCTATCGGTAATCAGCTTTGACTTTCTTACCTCCCCCCTATAATTGCCTAGTGCTTCTTGACCTTTTAAGCCCTAGAGCTTATAGTGCCTTGGTGTTCCCCCTGTTTCCCCTGTCCCCCTCACAGCTACATGCTTATTGGTATCTCCTATGATCGTTTCATTCACCGACCCGTCCCGCCTTGATTCATTCACGATGTTATCCATCGTAGGGATGAAGCAAAGACTCCTGGTTGGGGGAGGGACGGCGCGGCCTAGATGGTTCGTCAATTTGTTATTTATCCTGGTCAGCAGCTCGAAACTTTGCCGAACGAACGTCGAGCGAGCCTCTTTCCTATCTTGATTTAACGCCAGTCTTTGTCGTCCTTTAACCATCCTCACGATAACTGGCGGCCAGTTTCTTCGTCCACGAGTCGCAAATTAATATCACTCGATCTTTCATCCCTCATCCCTCGTCCCACTCGTCCGTCCGAATTCCTGATCAACCCCTTTTTTTTCCGAAACGGTCTGCCGTAGGAGCCGTAGCTTGTACTCGAGACATCCGATTCTACTCTGCAGAAACTTTTTGAGGAGCCCTGGTAAGCGTCCTTGAGACTATCATATCAGCTTTCGCCAAACAAGACGTAGATACATGCTAGTTGTATCAATTTTTCTTAATCCCTTTGTCTTACAATCTATGGTTTCGGACGATTGTCCCGGGAATCATATGAGAGTATCCATAAATCTATAAAAACGCGCTGCTGCTGCTTTTTTGGGTCTGTATGTGAAGCTATAAGTGGCTATTATAATGTCACCGAGTGCTCAGAACCATGAAAGGCAAAATAATCCTTTCCTGGTGAGTCTTGTCTTGGAAATTGAGGAACGGCCCACCATAGTTTAAAACTCATAGGCAAACCCTCGAAAAGGGTGGCTGGCAGCTAGGAAGAATCTTTTAGACATGTTAGAACCTTGATTAAAGGTTATATTTAGATAGAACTATAACTAAAAACAGGGACTTTGGCATTTGCAACATGGAGTCTAAGAACATAGACGAAGCTCTCCTTGCGTAAGAGTCCTGGATTGAACGAACTATTGCATTTTCTCGTATGTAGCCATGAGCGAACCTGCAGTATATGGTCAATTTCCATATGCTTCGGTATAGATCAATTGCAATGAACTTACCAATGAAAGTGGTCACTAGGCGAGACCGAACTTGACAAATATCTTCGGGGACCAGCCAAATCGTCGCCCCGAGCTTTCGTGCTATGCTAATACTCAACTTAGCGTTGGCATAGGCCTCCTCCTCGCTCCGGCCAGGCGTCACGAGCTCATAATCAACGTAACTGCTCTTCATGCCATTGAGCACATCAAGTAGGAAGATACCCGATCCAATAGACGGATCCTTGAAATTGCGAATTGTCGTAGTTCTTCCTCCCCTGCGGGACATCTCATTTGCCCATTTTATCATCTCTGCATCAGTCATTTCGCGTTTGCCCATGCGTTGTGCTAGGCCGGAGAGAGTAATAGTGATATCTTTTCGCATGAGTTGCCAGACCAGCCCCAACGTAAGAGTCCTTTGGCCATCAGTGATATCCGCTCCTTGTACACCTACAAGGGAGAAACCTATGTGTTTACCAAGCTCGATTGCATAATTGGTGTTCTCGACTGCCTTGAACCGCATCATGTCTCCGCCAGACGTTGGAGGCTTGTTGACATGTTTCCAGTTCACACTGCCAGAAATTACCTTATCATACGCTTGTAGCAGGATGGTTCCATCGCGTAGGTCATCGAACAGTGAGTTGACAGAAGGCTGTACGTCAAGGGAGTTTAGCCAAAGAGTGAAAACTCTGGCCTCTCGTTCGCCCTCAGCATCGAAGTCCTCAACCTCGAGTTTCTCTTCTTCTGTAATCGGGTCAAGACCAGGAATTGTGTTGAACAAGTTTGCCACAAATGCGAGATTAAGCTTCGGATTCCCTGCAACCAACGAAGTAGGGGTCAGGAACTTTCGACACTCGAGCTTTTCCGCATTTGTCAGAACATGTTCAGCACGCTGAACCAAGTCTTGAACTCGAAGGGGATCCCTCGAGCAGATCTCAGGCGCCAGTTGATTGAGTAGTATGGTGTAGTTCTCCCCGTCTTTCACATCGGTTGAGAAATTTGTAACTCTATGTCATGTTAGTTAAATATTTTCATCCAAATCTCCGTGAATTAGTAGATTAGTCCTAGATCGGACTAGTCATCGAGGCGGACGGAGATTGCGCAGTTTGGTTTCTTGTGTGAGATATCATACCTTCTATCCCACTTTGCATTCTTCAAGTGATAGTTGAACCAACGTAGCAATATCTGCTCCGGAGGAAGGCGAAGGAACTGCTCCAATGTTTCGTCTTCTTCAAGCAGCCGGTAAAGTTCCGGATGAAGTTTTATGTCAATCTTTCCGAGCAGACCTCGGCGAATGATTTGCCAAATGAGGCCCAGAATAAGATGCTCACGAACTTCGATAATATCGCCGCTCCCTATGTTGACAACCGAGCACCCTATTCCCTTGGCGGAGTTGATGACAATGTTGTTATTCTCGGTCATGTGGAAAGCGTTCAATTCCTTCGTTCTTTTCCCAGGCTTGTTAAGAACACGCTCATCGATCGTGTCTGGAACGCTGTCATTGATAAGCTTTGCTAGCACTAAACCGTCCTTGCATTTATCGAACATCTCAAAGGTATCGGTAGGAAAAGGTAGAGAGTGGCCGATGTCTGGGTCCCCTGCGAGAACAGCATTGATATGCCTGGTGAATTCGGTCCTCTCATCTTCGTTTATGGTGTGTGTCACATTTGCGGACGAGCCTTGTACGTGGATTTTTCCACCGATGCTCCCCTTGGAGACGTGGCGGGACTGCCCAGTGACATTTCCTGGTATGACTGCTGCGGGACCATGGCCACCAGCCTGATTTTGCGCTGGTGAAAAGCGAACTTTGGAGATGAGCTGCCGATTTGCGTTAGCATTATTGACGAAAGTGCATTTCAGGATACTAACATCCACGTAGTCCTCCAGTTCGACGCGGCGGGAACTGTCCAACTCGACCTCTTTCAAGGCTTGGCGTACGACGTCATAAGGCTTCCGTTCTGTTTGTTGCGTTGCCTTGATCACAGTGGCCTCGTCGAGATAGCCCCTGTCGTCGACATCCAGCTTCCGAAACGCATCTTGGAGGGAGAAAATGTCTGCCTGGTCGAATTGCGGGAATTTCCTGAGCCATGGTCAGTGACCCCGCAGCTTCTACTCGTGGTATCGATGCGAACCTCTGTAGTTTGAGCACGTTCATTTTCTCCTTGTGGTCTCCCTCGACCTTGAAGAAATAGGCTTCTTGAGCGAGCTGAAAGTTCAAAGATTCAGAATCGCAACTTGCGGGGGAAGATACTACACGTAAGTATCTGTAGGTGACTAGGTGAGCACTCAACGTTTAAGTGACCTTGTTGGGGGGTGGGAGCTGCTGGTATGATGAACGAAGGAGACTCTGTGGGGTTGGTTGCCGTCTGGTCCTCGAGGGAGAACTGCACTAGTGTAGGAACCCAATGACAAGGTGGGGTTAGGATGGGATGACTGGCATCGCTCACTAAGTTAGGTTACCGGGAATTCCACAGAAGAACTCTTAGGATCGGTCAGCTTGGAACCGCGTGTGTAACTAGCCTCCATGTTGGCTACCTAGTAGTCATTGTGTATAATTTACCTGACCAATACATTACTGTTCACAAAAAGACAGATGTAACTACGGTATGGTCCCTGGCATACATAAACACTAATATGTGAATAGAGTATCTGGTTAATGACGTAGAATGCGTGGGCGGCTGCTGCCGGCTGCTGCTGCCTAATGCCTGATGATGTCGCCGTCTTAATTGCGTTACGGCACCGGCTGAGCTCTCAATTTTGATCACTAGATAAACCATCATCCTTGATGACTGATATAAGTGATTGACAATATGCGGCATATGTGACTAGTCACCCACCCGCTAAATCGTAAGCACCTGCAAATTGACATAATTTATTCCTATGTAACTTACGAGGAGGTGGTCAGCTACGAAGCTTTTGGGCGGCCGATCCACAAAGCCTTAGTTAAATGCCAACAAGGCCAGAAAGCACGGGTGAATATTTGTGATTCCGAGCACCCTCTGCGGATTAATACAAGCACCTAGTCCTCTGAGGTCTCACAGCCTCGTCTGGTACTATCTTTTTATTAATTCATCTGACGTAGGCGCATTGGCTTTTGCCACGAGACCACGAGCTCTCCTGAGCTTCATGCCAAAAGAAAGCCAACGGGGTCCTTTCCTAGGGGCAATTTCGCCTTGGAATAGCCCCCAGAGCTCGATACCCTTGTCTACTACAGACAAGCAACACGATATACAGAATATCCTGAAGCAATCCCAAGGACAAGACCATGCTGTCACGCATAGGTACAGACTCAGCTTACACCGGTACCCTGAAGACTGCCCGCCCTTGAGTGTCAAGTGGTTTTATGCAGTGGACTCTCCAAAAAGGAAGCCAGAGCTGTCTACCAGTGCTCGGAACAAAGAAGATCTCAAGCTGCCACCCCCCAAGAAATTTGTGCAATTCTCAACTAGAGACTCTCATGCCATTGAAGAAGCTTTCCAAAGGATATCGGACATCGAGGTTGAAAATGAGAACTTTAGCCACGAACAAGCAGACCCTGGCCGTTCACGCGTCCCAACCAAGGTTCCCGTGAATGAAGACTTCTTGTTCGATGTGAACGTGGAATATAGGGAGCTGGCGCCAACGTACTGGGTAGGCCCCATATATGAAGTGCGCCGCGGGACCTGGTTCTTTCAGGAAGGATCGACTATGAAGCCATGCGAAGAGAACTTAGCAACACAGCTTGAGGAGGGATATCTAAAGCTAAAACCCTGGCGATGCTTGGACACCCGTCGCTCTCCATCAACTGCTTCGTCGACAACACTTAGTCACCAAGGTAAGTTAAGAACGCGCAAGTCAACAGATGAATCGCTCATTTTGTCAAACAGATTCTAGCCCCCGTGGTACTCCCGGAACCAGTAATGAACCAAGGGATTATCGATTGTTCGGCGCATATATGAGCAATATAGTCACATATCAAGATGCTTCCACTGCGCTGCTGACAAGTGATGACTTCATGTCCAGGGTCAGCACGACCGTATACCAAAAGCTGGGTGCTGTCGCAGGCACAAAACTTGTACGTGGCTTCAATGAAGCGAAGAAGCCCACAGATTCATCAAAATGTGGCACCCCACCAAAGCAGACACACGATGGGCTCAAGCGTCGCAGCAAACTACCAGCGCAGCTCGAAGTAGAATCCAAGTTGTTGGGTTTGACCGAATTGACTGGACCGGACAACCCCAGTCTAACGAATACAACAACAGGGTCTGCAACCAAAGAGCCGTGTAATGGGGCAGATGATCGCTCAGAATTGGCCGAGCTTGAAGAGCAAATGCGTACGCAAGATCAGAAGGAGATGGAGGCATCAAGAGACTCCAATGAAGATCGAGATCGGGAGATAGATCACTTGGTCCTAGTCACTCATGGGATTGGCCAGCGCCTGGGCTTGCGCCTAGAAAGTGTAAATTTCATACACGATGTTAATGCTTTACGCAAAACGATGAAAAGTGTTTATCGAGCATCACCCGATCTTCAAGCCTTCAACTCGCAATTCGCTGATAAACATGAAAACTGCCGCATACAGGTCCTACCCGTGTGAGTCTATTTCCCCCCTCTACATTGCGATACCACCCTTCATATCTAACCTTGGCCGAGCCTCTCAATGGCTTGTGTTCATATAAAGACACGTACTGATCCAGTATTTGTCATAGGTGTTGGAGACATATGCTCGATTTTCCCTATCAACGAATGGAGCAAAGTCGGAAGGAACTCGACTTAGCGGACGCGGAGGCTCCCGAAGATGCAATACCAGCATACCCTACTCTATCAGATATTACACTCGACAACGTGCCTGCTGTCCGGAATCTCATATCCGACCTGGCCATGGATGTTCTGCTTTATCAGAGTGCGTATTGTGAACAGATATCTCACATAGTGAAAGGGGAGTGCAATAGAATCCTGAGGCTTTTCAAGGAGCGAAATCCTTCCTTCAAAGGCTCAGTGAGTCTCTGCGGCCATTCTCTTGGTAGTGCAATCCTCTTTGATATACTCTGCCATGAACCCCATGATAGCCATCATGCAGCCGCCTCTGTCAATGCCAGACAGCCAGAATGTTGTCAAGATTCTTTTTTGGAATTTCAATGCCAAGAATTCTTCTGTCTAGGCTCCCCTGTAGCATTATTTCAGATGCTCAAAGGGAAGACTATTGCTGCGCGGCGGGCTCGAGACGAGGGACTCGCAGAAGTATCGTCCTTCCCAGAGAAATGCGCATTGGAAACACCATTGCAGCCTACTCCCCAAGCAAAGTCTTTTGCTTCACACCAGACGAGCACCGTGATCGCTCAGAATGAGTTATCTGTTTCTTCACCTAAATGTGGGCAGCTGTACAATATCTTCCATCCCTCTGACCCCGTGAGTTATCGTTTAGAGCCTTTGATCTCACCAGCACTGTCATCGCTCAAGCCGCAGCCTTTGCCGTCAGTAAAGAAAAGTCTTTGGGCAACATCCGGTCAGAGTCTTTCCATGATCGGTAGTCGTGTCGGCCAAAGTGTGGGATCTCTCTGGACGAATTTCACGTCAGGTGTCGCCAGCAGTCTTCTTAACCGTAGTCTCGGTCTGAGTCCCGAGGATGCCTCAACCCGCTCATCGTCCAATGCGAATACTCAAGACCCCCAAAATCTACCACTGGTCGCGGGTGCTTCTGCGCTGAGTGAAGACAAAAGTCGACGACCCACACTGCTTCACTCTGATTTGGAAACGCTATACGGAAAAATCCATCGGGACAAGATTTCAGCGAAGCAGAATTTACAAGCCAGAGAACATGCTAGCGGAGCCTCTGGAGCAGATAGTGGCTCGAAAAGGATTCTGCTGGAGGATGCAAAGGTAAGGGCCCTGAATGCCAACGGGCGTGTTGACTATAGCATACAGGAGTAAGTTCGGCGTCCCAAGTCGATTATGGTCTTTGAAAACGACAAGCGCTAACCGTCTAGGGGTGCATTCGATATATCTATGATTGCAAGTATTGCCAGCCACCTGAGCTACTGGACAGATGAGGATGTGAGCCACTTTATGCTATCGCAAATGCTGTGTAGGAGGGAACAGTCATCAGGAACTCAAGATCGGCCCTAGCTTCTATAATGAAAGGTAAGCACTCGTGGATGTTTTGTCGTTATAATCTATCACTTCCCTGCGAGAGGCCAAACAGACGTATTAGATGTATGCAAGTCTCTGAACTTATACAGAATCAATGTTTTGGGGACATGCTACCACTGGCGTTAGTGCGCATACGGCGCGGAATAGCATATACACACCATTTACCTCTTTGATCCTTCCACCGTGCAAGAGCCCATATCAGCACCATCTTTAATTGTAGCCATACTGATCTAAACATGCTTGGGATTATTGTCATCAAGCTTCACTACTTATCGATATGGGAAGTATGCGATTGTAGAATATTCCATACAGGACCAGAATGATATGCACGGCGTCGAATGAGCCAACGACCTCTACTATTTATATCTACTTGCAACCGGCATAGTGCAGTCTGAATCTAGAGGAAGCTTTCTTTCCATCCATCTATCCAGGCAGGAATTAAGCACGCAGTGTGACTTGAGAGTTGCGCGTGACATACTGTCAGCTCAAGACTCCGACGGCGGGGCTAGTGGGGCCTTGCTTGCTTGTACACAGATGAGAGTGGACAAGAGCCCAATTTACAGTTGGTGTGATCTCCAGGAGAACCACGAGTGCAACCCACGCCCCTAGTGGTCAGCATCGAAGAATTTGCGGGGAAGACACTAATGTAGCGATAGGATCATACTTGAAGTATGATCTCCTTCCGGTTGATAGCCTCGTCTGTATGGAACCCAAAGACCAAGCGGTAAAGATCTAGCAGCCATGGGTATTGTCCGCCCTGCGCGACAAGCCGAACGGCTTGCGCTACATCAATGGCACTTGCTCGTGCCTGGAAACTAGCACCTTTGAAAATTGGGTCAAACGCTACCAGCCTTTTATAGTTCTTCAGTAGTGATATTTGCCAAGGGGTAGAGCCGAATGCATCGGAAGACAGCGATTTGACGAATGACGAGAAAGTTTGTGTCCCAGAACGCTGATAACCGCTGTTGATTGCAGCCTTTATAACCAATAATTTGATAGCCGCCAGGTTCAATCCTCCCGACAAGGTGGTTATTGTTTTGGTCGATGAGGTCTGCTCCGATGACTGTGATTGTCCTGATGCAGCTGATGAATTTGGAGAACAGGCGGTTTGCGATGCTTGAATTGAGCCTTGGCCCAAGACATAAATGTTCTGGAGGGGTGCCTCATCTGGTGAGATGGCTGCACTATCATCGAAAACGGTAGTCGGCGTCTCAGGATTTTTAGATTGTCCCAAAACCTCGTCACAAGCAATGAATTGAGAGCCCTTGACCTGCTCGACGACCTGCTGGAAAGTTGCTTGACTTGGCCGTGGTGTTCCACGGTCAGAACTTCGATGGCTTCGCTGTGCCCAACCTTCCCTGAAAACATCGCAAAGTTCCCAACAAGCTTGAATCGTCGATCCCAGCAAGTCTTCGTCTGGCTTCTTGTTTTCTTTTTTATTCTGGCGTATGGTGAAGAGCATCTCTGCAAACGACCAGCATGCGCCCAAAGGGGATTCTGTCTCAGACACTAGGCTCCTCTGCTTCATCAGACGATGACACAATGTGATGTAGAAGTCTAGAGTCCTCTCACGGAAAGCCTCCGGCAGGTTTCGATCGTGCGTATTATAGAGATGGTTATTGAGCTCAAAACTGACACGGAGAATCGAATCTGTGACCTCGTTTTCTTTCTCACGAGCTTCGAACAAAGATTGACAAAAATCATGACAAATATCAAGAGTAGGGTTGACTTTTGAGGGATGGTAGTCGTTCTGACCGACATAGAGTTCCTGACATAGACGCCAGCATAGTTCCCAAGTCTTATCTTGAGTATTGATGTAGGATCCGTGCCTTTCTCCATGTAAAGTGCCGAGAACGGCCAATGAATTGCATAGAGCCCAACACTCCGCTAGGGCTGCTGTCAAAGCGTCAATTTCTGCTTATTGTCAGAATGGTATACAACCCGTAGACCCAGGCCGTTCAAGTCATCATGGTTGGATGATTTCCTGAGATCAATACCAGAAAGGATTGACTTACCCTCAACACGGGATATCGAAAGCCAGGGCGTTCCTTCTCCAGAGACAGCATCTGCCCTACTATCAACAGTACTGGTACATGAAAGCATGTAAGGATCTCCGAAATTTTGTCTTGTTTGCGCCCGAGGTGTTGGCCGCTCGGACCAGCCCTCCGAATGTTCAACTGAAGTACTCGATGGAGTTGGTGATATAGGGCTTTCAGACCCAACCTAGCGCTTGTCAGTCAGCTTCCAGCCAAGGCGGATGATAGTGAACTACTACTGCGATCGCCGTAAGATCATGACCCGAGGATGACTGTGCTGTTTGATGTGATATATATGACTTCAACGCACACGGTGGTGCAAGCGTACTGACAGATGGCACTTGTCCATTCACCTTTTCCTCATTAGATACCAATAAACGGTTGGTTGCGGATACTGATGGGATTGCTGACTTGTATGTCAACCACTTACAAAGTCACCAAAACCTGCAGGAGCATGTATCACTGATTGTGGTGGCTCGTCCTCATCCGATTTCGCCTCACCTTTGTTGACCTGTGTGTTCGCAGTACGTATCTGCCACCAGTCTCAGTACGTTCAAGTCTGATAGTCAAATCCTGCCAATTACCACCCATACTTTGAGTTCCTCTCGAGATATTCCTGCGAATGGTGGTCTTGAACCAAGCGGCGTGGAATTACATCCACACTCGGAATCGCGCTCCGGAGAACCATCGTGGCCGCCCGCATCTTGGTTTGAAACCAGTGACGACCCTACATCGTGTCCCGATGTTGTATCAGATGCAACAATGTGATTTTGGTCAAGCCTATGCGATTAGCATTCTAAATTGAGTCATCGCGGAGAATTACATTCTCATACATGGTGTATCTAGAGGCGCTAGGAAGCCAATGGCCTGAAGATCTCATAAGACAGGAAAAGGCGGTGGGGAATGGTACTCTGGATCCTTGACGGATCCTAATGTGGTGTAAATAAAAAGCAGTATCGCATGAAAAACATACAGATAGATGCAAGCTGATAGCAAGACAACAACCTTGGAGAAGTTAGCCCAACAAAATCACTTACAAAGGTCTATCAGCAGTTCTAGCACTCGATGGAGGTCTTATCACACATCATGTGCCTTGCCGCCGTGAGACGCTTCGCGCCGAGCACGACTGGCACTAACGGTAGTATATGATAAGCTGTTGTATCTTACTGTACTGTACATACTAACTTATACTAGCCGTACAGCGTCCGAGTAATCGTGACATGTATCCAGCAACAATGGTGCGATAATGAGAAGATACTGTATTGTAAATATCAGATCAACGGTTGACCGTGTTTTTTATCTCTACGTAGGTAGATAGAGTACCCAGTAGTTTTGCTTCGGTAGATGGTTATAAAAAACATGTATTATGGTGGTATGAAGGGTAAGTAACTGTTTCCTGACATTGACGACTAGGTAGTGTTCGCTGCCATGTACATTCGAACTGTTCAAACGACTTCGAAAATGAACCATGTCAATGCTGGCCCTTAGTGGCACGGAGGAATAGTGTGAACCTCCGCGAACCCTCTCACATTATTTACTGGTGTATATGGTCAAAATCGACCACTTGACATTGTTCGTAGGCAAGATGTCTACAGAAACAACAAACCGCCAAGAGAACACTAAACTTTTAGAGTTCGGAGCAAGGTACTTTGTGCCTTGTCAGTCAAGTTAACCAATCTTGATTACATTAGTTAAATGAACTGCTTGTGAAGGCGTTCCTTGCCATTACATAATTCTAAAAATTCTCAAAAACAGAAACAGACAAAAGAACCAATGAAATAATGAACTACGCATGTAAGACTGCCGACATGACCGAAAGAGCTCGTGCAAGAATCAAGAGAACCGCTGAAAACCACTAAAAAACCATTGTGAGACCACAGATGAAGGGACTTGGAGTGTTTGAAGTCAATCGCTATTGACATCGATAAAACCTTTTGCAAAGGCCGCGTTTCCTTTGGTAGTCACCGAGAGTAGGGAGCAGCAAGGCCGCACGTCCGGAAGGATTGTATGGGGGTCATCGGGGAAAGGTCAAGGCAACAGGCATTTTTAGAGAGCTGTGGAATGTGATCGAAAACCGCTTCATATTTGAGACTTCGCCCGGTCCCTCTCGGTGGGATTATACCTTGCGGACAATGTCAACACTATGATTCGATGTTGGTTCGAGTCATTCGCTCATACCTGAGAAGTTTCTCAATCAAATCGACATGAGTCATGATCATCCGGCGACAACAATATCTTCTACAGCCCAGCTGATCCATAGCATCACTATAAAGTATTTCGTCAGGGATGGTGTTCGTGTCAAAGCAATCCACTGAATAATGACCTACCCGTCTGGTATGCCTTCATCTAGAAGCTGTAGGTAGCGCTCCCATAAATCTCCAACAACCTATTACTCCACGATGGTTAGAAGCCGTGTAGGGAAGCTGGAATAACTGTATTGCTACCTACCTTGCCACAAGAGAAGCACCTGACGGGAATAATCATTGGGCCAAAGTGTGTCTCGGGAATGAGAAGAGATGATATAAGTGAAATAAATCTGCACCGAAGGTAGTTCTGATACTCAGGAAGGCGGAAGTACCAGTAAATAGGGAATGTCTTCTGTTGTGATGTGCAGCTACTGGATGGTAAAGTCTGTCTTTGAAAGTGAGGAATAATTACTCACGTTGAGGATTGATAAAATCTGTATTATTGGTTACTTGATTCGACACAGACCCCACCTTTTTCCATTTGAAGATTTGCACCTAACCGAAAGCCTGTTAGTCTTTTAAGTGCTAGAGCACACATGATCAAAGCGCTAGTACGTACTAGGACTAGAATCGGACCAGTGAATGGATGGAGTGTTTGACTATGGCAGTAAGGCAAAAGAGAAGCAAAAAAAAAAAAAAGGAAACCTACTACAAGCAGGTGGTCATCATCCTAGCTTGTCTTGCAACACCTAAGGGCTACGCAACATCAATGATGCTAGTCTGTCTCATCCATAGAGTACATCATCTACAACAACACTCAAACTAGAAGGCTGGGTTTAATTCTCTTCTCATTGCCTGGTGAACCAATGTCAGGTTCGGAGCATAGACAACTTTCCAAAAGATCGCGCGCCAGCGAGATGGCTCAAGGGAAGATGGTCTCAACCGATGATGTTCGCACCAAGCGCCGTCGTACATCGCCAACCGACGATGGGGCTCAGAAAGACGATTCTTTGCAGCCTAGGATAGTCAGAAGGACAGCGGCCCTGGCAACTGATGCTGTTACTGTTCCGGAGGATATTCCTGAGCCTAGCGAGAGAGAACCGAAGGAAACTGCACGGGATGCCTGGTTCCTGTCTGGAATTGCTGCTGGACGATTCAGCAACTCTGACCCCTTGTTCACCTCAGATGATGAGTGAGTCGTATCATTGATTATCTTCTGAAACAATTTCTTACAGAGTTCGTCATAGGTACCTTTTTCTTGGTCTTAAAACAGCGGTTCACATCTACTCGGTGACAAGTTCGCGGCTTTTTCGAGTGCTGAAATTGAAGTCCACCGACAATGTAATCGAATACAAGCTCTCTCCACAGAATTCGGATCATCTATACGTGTTCAGCTCTACTGGCTCTGTGAGCAAATGGGAATGGTTTTCTGGTCAACGGCTTTATTACCGAGATGCATGCAGACCAACAACCTGCGTCGACCTTTGTTCCGATGCTTGTGGAAATGACGCCCTGTTCTCCGTTCATGATCGCGCAGATTCGAAGAAGGACATCGTTCTTCAACGCTTAAGTGATGAAGAACCTTGCTCTGTTCCCTTGTTGACCACCAACACTCAGATCACTCATCTCAGAGTTGCATACCAGGGTAGAGTTTTAGTTGCTTTTGGAGGCCAAAATATTCTCCTCGGTTGTCAAGCGCATCTTTCAGACTCGAGTCCTGTCCCTTATACCTGGAGCGAGTTGACTTTACCCACGAGTATCACGTCTGCTGATATTCGATATCAAACAGCCCCACAACGAGCGGGGATCCCGGGTCCCAAAAACCGGGCAACCCTTGGAAATGTTGACCTTGCGCTGGGGGAATCGGGGGGCTCAATCATGATTTATAATGATATCCTCACTTCCCTACATAATAATATCGGCAACAGCAAGGCTCTTACCCCTAGGCGGCTGCATTGGCATAGGAGTTGTGTTAATGTGGTGCGTTGGTCTAAGGACGGTAAGCTATGTTCATCAGACAAAGCTGGGCTCCAAATGACTGATGCATCTCTCTTGCAGGTAACTATGTCATCTCTGGCGGCAACGAATCGGTGATGGTTCTGTGGCAGCTGGATACGGGCCGAAAGCAGTTCTTACCCCATCTCTCGTCCCCTATTTGCAGCATAACTCTTTCCACAAGTGGGACCCTCTATGCTGTCAAACTAACAGACAATTCCACCACTGTGCTATCAGCGCGAGAACTCCAGCCATTTGCCACCATAAACGGCTTGCAGCTGTGCCCACCGACCAAGTCTCACACTCGGTCCTCGACCAAGAGGCCTCTGTCAGCTGGAACTATAGCCGCCGCTTTACATCCGAAGCTCCCGGATCAACTTCTTTTGACTGTTCCAGCCTCTCGTCAGCTTACACCGGAAGGTCATACTGTGGCGAACGCTTGCACACTCCAAACCTACGACATACGCTCCAACAGCCATGTCTCACGGCAGGCACTTGCGCGTACCAACACGACAACCTTGAAGATTAGTCCAGATGGCTCATACATCGCTGCACCAGATGTCAGTCACTTGTCGCTCTCGAAAGACGGGAAGTGGATGGCTACCATCGACAGCTGGAGCCCTTACACAAGAGACATGCAAGCTCTCTATCCTGACGATGATCATGGCGGTCGCAGCTCTACTCGAAACCAAGAAACTTTCTTGAAATTCTGGAGATGGAATCTCTTGTCCATGATGTGGGATTTGGTGACCAGAATTGACACTCCTCATTTTTCTGGCACTGGTCCTGCGCAGATCTTGGGTCTTGCTTCCCGCAATTATGCCCACGAATTCGCAACTGTCGGCGCTGATGGAGTGCTTCGCTTATGGTGCCCAAGCGCCAGGCAACGAAGTGGTCTCAAGACAACAGGTACTGAACAGCTGTCGGAGACCTGGAGATGTCGAAATGCTATTGACCTGAAGAGCTATAGTGACGTACATCACCCTACAAGATTGAATGCAGCCTACATGGATTATTCGCAGGATGGTTCGGTTCTCGCCGTTTGCTTGAATTCGGCATCATCTGCGAATCCCGGTGTTACATTATTGATTGATGCTCAAACCTGTAGCATCCGCTATAGTAGGGTCGGGCTATATGCAGGGGATCCTTGTGCGTTGGCATTTCTGGGCTCTCAGCTCCTGATCACCTCAACACGGTCCGTGTTCATTTGGGATACTGTGCATGACCTTGTCAGGACTCTCTGCTTCCCTGATGCAGCTGAAAACGGACAACCCTGTTCACCACGCCTGTTGGCAGTTAGCATTGAAACTAAAACTTTCGCCATTGCCGCGCAAGTTCATTCCAAGAACCCTGCGTCAAAGAAACGCCGACGATCCGAACCTCATGTACAGATTTACGACATCGAAACCCTCGCCGTACTGTCTGAAACCATGCTTGATAGCTCTCCCGTCGCTTTACTATCTGATAAACACTCTGGCGATTTCGTCATTATCGATGCTGAAGCCAAGGTGCAGAGACTCAGCTGCCTGGGTTTAGCACCCCAAACTACATATGCGCATGCACCAAGTGACTTGTTTGAAAAATCGGGTTTGGCAAGCTTGTTTGGTCAGCAAGACCAGGGCAATTCAGCCGATAGACATCAATTAGCAACAGCGTCTAGTGGTCTAAATGGTTCTTTGCAGACACAGCTGGCTAGTGTTTTTGGCGATGTACCACCGTACGTTTTGCCTCCAGCCAATCTCCTCTTTCGCGATGTGGTCCAGGCCCTCTCATGTTAGCAATTTACCTAGTGTCAACACTTTTTACCACACGGATAGTCTCATATTAGGCTCACTTATAATGTCACTGCCGAATCATGGGTGGCTTCATCCCTATGTTCTAGGGGGGTTGCTTTCATGTTGATCATATTGATCAGGTTGCATTCAGCGAGACGGCAATGTACCTTAGAAGACTCATTTTGACCAAGAGATATTCTGTAGATATATATTGACTTTTATTGCGGTTTAAGGTCATCGTTTCACCATGTTCCAGTTTAATGTAG